AGTACCTATTAGTAAATAAATAATGGTAGATTCTACGGTACCCATAAGATACCGTACCTTTGTCCACATGGACCAATCAGAATCATGCAGTTGAATTATTTAAATCTAAATTCAAAAGGATTTAATGATTTGGACCAATCAAATGCATGGTAGGTACGGTACCCCATTTTTTAAATGGGTACCAGAGTTGTCACCATAAATAATACTACTAACAAATATTAGAATTTTAATAAACACACAGTTTACAAATAATTGAACACTTCTTTGTAGATGACAGTTTTGCAAATATTTTTCATTTTATTTATCGCCGTATATGACGAATTTCATATCAAACAAACTTTCCATGTTTGTAGCTCCAACTAACAACTACCCGAGCATAAAACTGAACGTCACAAGAAAACACTCCAGCGGTTGCCCTTTTTACTCTTTTGAAGAGACAATTGCCTACACATAGAGTCTCGCACGGTGGATGTAGCTCAACTGGTAGCGAGAGAGTGCCACAAGGGTTAGGTTTCGGACTCTCGGGTTCGAATCCCGGCAACTGCGATGAGGGGTTACTATGCTGAAAAATGCATAGGGCTTCTGCAAGTACCGGGGACAAAACCCACTCTCTATCTGTCAGATTGTGATTATAGTCCAATTTACATCCTCCCATCGTGCCGTCCGGTCGGTGTTGGGGGGCCCTCAGGCAGTGGCGTATCCAGAAACTTTGGCGAGTGGGGGCAAACTTGACTACAATTTAGTCTCATATTTCACAAATAACAAATCACATTATTAATATTGTTTGATTAAATTTAGTTTATAATATCTATGTACAAGTATGAAAAAAAAGAAGATTAATTTATATTACGGGTGTGTAAAGATGTAATTGCAAATAAAATGTAATAAATTTACCTAAATATAAGTTAAACGGTCTTAAACATAACATAATTTAGTGAATTTTTTAGCCTTTCATTCTTTTAATATTAAAGAAAACACTTCTAATCCTATTTTAGAATTTTTTTTATACATTTAACTCTTAATTTGAGTAATTTCTTGTAAAACTTTGAACATATATATAGGGGTTGGGTTGGGGTTGAGTGGGGGCAGCTGCCCCCGCTGCCCCCATAGTAGATACGCCACTGCCCTCAGGGATGGGGTGTCATCCTTTTTTTCGCAATTGCCAAGGTTTGACTAATTATGTGAAAAAGGTACGTTTTTTTTACAATCACTGCTTCAAGAATTGAAAGTCCTAATAACAAAAATCGTGTAAATTTATAGAGGCATTCTTAAGAACAGACAGTTCAAAGTAACTATTTTTAATACCTAATCATTCTTTATTTATCACAGGTTTATCCTTAGGTTATAGTCATTATTAACTTGTTTTAAGTTATTATTATTATTAACAAATATACTTCCCACTTTCCTTTTTTGGCCGTTCCCAATAATACTTCCTACTTTCCCTTTTTTGACAATTTGTGTGGCTCACGTTCATTTTACATTTTTCTTACACAACCACAACCATACATTTCCACTTTATTCTACTTTCTTAATAAGTGTGCCAAGTCAAACCGGGAAAGATTTTTAGGAATGGAGGTAGTATTTCTTACTTGACCAATAAAAATCCTGTTAGAATTGATAAATTGGGTAAAATGTGGCGTAGGGATTATTATCTTAACAGTCAATAACATGATAAGTGATTGTTGTTTTAATTAATTATATAATAATTAACTAAATGATAGTTAATTTTTCTTGGGATAATAATTAATATCATTTGAAAAAAGATGCCATGCAAAATAAATGAAAGAAAATAAGGTGTTGAAAAACAAACTACAAAAAAGCCAATATTTCTTGAACAGCTAGAATTTCATTTGGATTTTTTTTTCTAATTAAAACCTGTCATCGAAACATGTTGGATTTTTAAAAGGAGTTCAAATAATTCCCTAATGGCTTAAATACAGCTTTCTCTAACATGCTTTTAGTATATATCTTGTTAAAGATTCTATCAATCAAGATAAAGACTAAGCATTCCAAAGTGATCTTCCATCCAAACCTCCTCTAACAGACCTTAAAAAAATGTTTCGACTGCAACAAATGTTGATACTATATCCCTCAACGGTTGACTTGCAATGCTACCATGATGTCCATGGACTTCAGAATCTAAAGGATGGCAGCACCACTTGCATCATCTTTTAAATCCTCAACATGTGACTATCTTCTCTTAGAAAAAAGATTGAGGTACACACAATTTGTACAACTTGTCTGTGAGGGACAGACAAGTGTACAAATTGTGTGTACCCCTTCTCTTATGTCTTCTTTTCTCACCTTGTTACAATGATATCTTCTTTATATGTGTAGTCAAATTCTTCCTCATCCATAAGTTCAGCGATTTAAGACATGTGACTATCTTCTCTTAGAAAAAAGATTGAGGTACACACAATTTGTACACACAATTTGTACACTTGTCTGTCCCTCACAGACAAGTTGTCTGTTCCGAGATGAGTTGTCTGTGGCAGAAAACTCATCTCGGAACAGACAACTTGTCTGTGAGGGACAGACAAGTGTACAAATTGTGTGTACCCCTTCTCTTATGTCTTCTTTTCTCACCTTGTTACAATGATATCTTCTTTATATGTGTAGTCAAATTCTTCCTCATCCATAAGTTCAGCGATTTAAGACACGAATCTCAGGTAGAAATGCAATATAGTTAATAATGCCAATATTGAAATCATGCACCAAATCAAGAACAATTGTTAAGGTACTCATATTTATATTGAGAACAGCCGAAGAATTGTTGATTAGGGTCATTTTGCTAAGAAAGAATGGTTGTTTGGGGCCATTTTGCCAAGTTCAATATTTTGTAAATCACTGTTCATTGGGGCCAAGGAATTTTACCTATAGATGAAGATTACATACAGGGAAGCTAATATGATATAAACAATCGTGCATATCATACTTTACCCTTTAGCCAAAAATAAGAAGGGCGGGTAACAGCTAAGATCTCAGCTTCTGAGAGTAGAAGCAGAAGTTAGAGTGTTTGAGTGAAAGTGTACAAGTGATTCTGGTGATCTAATTTACTCCTAGAATCAGTTTTTTTAGAAGTTGGGGGTGACCGGATTCTGAAAACTGATTCTGCTTTTGCTTCTGTTTTTAAAAAAGAAGCAAAAGCAGAATCAGTTCCAAACACCCCTGCACCGCTCAACACGATTCTCCCCTCATCTCCACCCACCAAAAGATCCCATTCATCTTGGGTACAATGCTGCTCCGGTGAAGGGGCGACCTTCTTCTCCGGTAATCTTCTCTATCTTTTCTCCCTATTCTCTCAGTCTTCCTCTTCCTCCTGCTCTTATTCTGCTCCCTAGGCCTTCTGATATGTTTTTCTTCTTCTCATGAATTTTTGTTATTTTCCATAAATCTTTTTTGTTTCCTTTTTCTATTTTAACTGAAAATTGATATTCCGAATGTGATTGTTTGGATTGGAAATTGAGAGACTTGAAAGATCTAGACCAGAAATTTTTAGATCTGATTTTTTTATTCCTTCTAATATATTTTAAAAAATAAAATTACTTGTTAGCATTTTAAATCCGAATGAGAAGTTCTCAAAAATGGCACTTAATAGCGCTCCCTTTGTCAATACAGTGACCCTAAAAGTACTGTACTTGCAGTGTCATATTTTCCATAAATAAAATGTCATTTTGTCAAATAATATCATATTATGATACAAAGTATAACTTCACAAGATGGCAATATGGATTTTGATTTTCTCCTTTTAAAGCTCCATCGTTTTTACCCTAAAGTGCCATTGTGTTTTGATTTTCACTTCCATCATTTTTACCAGAGTGCCGTTGTGTCTAAGAAAGTGTCATTGCGTCTAAGAAAGTGCCATTGCGTCTAAGGATGTTTTTACTTGGATTGTAATTTGCTGGTCTGGTCTGGTCTGGTCTGGTCTGGTAATGTCTGGTCTCTTTGTATTTTTATAACTATCCAAGTCTGGTCAGGTCTGGTCAGGTCTGAACTGGTCTGTTCTGGTCTGATCTGGTCTGGTCTGGTCTGGTCTGGGACATATTACAGTACAAGTAAAAACATCCTAAGAAAGTGTCATCTTTTATCTGGAAATGTCATATTTTGTATTTGTTAGTGCCATGTTTTTAGATCTGTGAATGCCATTTTTGTATCTTGAGATCTATTTGGAGAGTGAGATATCTAGTCGGATTGTTGCACCTCTCTGGAGGCAGTCAAAGGTGATGGTGGTGGCGGCGGCTCCCTGGAGGTGGAGGCGGCGGCTCCTTGGAGATGGCAGGTGAGGATCCCTTGAAATGGTGGTGGAGGCGGCGGTTCCCCGGAAGTGGCAGCGGCGGCGGCAACTCCCTGGAGGCGGCGGCGGGTAGCGGCTCCTTGGAGGTGGCGGCGGCGGCGGCAACTCCCGGTCTAGCAATTGGTGTCTGCGGGATGCATGGCTCGAGTTCCATTAGGGCTTCCATTGTAATAAAAAATGTAATACTACCTCCGTCCCAGAGACAAGTTTCCACTTTCCTTTTTTGGCAGTCCCAACAAAAAGTTCTCATTTCCCTAAATGGAAAGTTATCCTACATCAAAACAGTGCAAAACAGTGTCAAACAGTGTCAAAACAGTGCCAAACAGTGTCGAAACAGTGTCAAACAGTAAAATTACCCCTAAGTAACTTTATTTCCTTAATATGTGTGAAAGTCAACCCGGGAATTTCTCCTTGGGACGGAGGGAGTATAATTCATTAAGATAATTTGGTTACAAGTACAATTTTACTCCTATCAAACATGGATTTTGCTTGGGATACACAAAATGTGTACACATGTCTGTCCTTCGGAAAAAATTTGTCTGTCACACACAATTCATTATGAGTTGTCTGTGACAGACAAATTTTCTTCGAAGGACTGACATATGTGTACACATTTTGTGTAGAGAATTTGTGTACCAAAAAACCATTTGCCATCAAACATTGTACTCCGAATACCCCACAAAAACGGAGAAGCACGAGAACAGTACGAAAGTAGGAACCAATCATTGTCCCTCCCTCTCATTCATCACTTTCATAATTCAGAGCTGGAACCTGAAAACCTTGCTTTCTTCTACTAATAAAACCCGCAAGTAACGTTCCGTACAGTCCCAACCTAAAAGCAGTTCGTGAAGCAGAGCCATGGCTCCTCTCCCCGCTCGATTGCTTCTCTCACTGCAATTGCTGACCATTTTATTCGGATCCGGATGTGCAACCCGATTCCGCGACGCAGGGGATAGGGAGACTGCGCCGGCACAGAGAGAGTTCGATTTCTTCAAGCTCTCTCTCTTATGGCCTGGCACCGAGTGCAGGCATACTCGCCGCTGCTGCTCAGCCAATGCTTGCTGCCGGTATATATTCATTCTATCATCTCCTTGCGTGTATCATAGTTTAGGCGTTTGTATATGGATGAATTTTCAATTTTTTAAAATTCAGCATTCGATGAGTTCGGACATGGCAACTTTTTTCACTGTTTTTTTTTTCAATTTGCGCAGTTCCAGCTCTCCAACCGAATTCACAATTCGTAAGTCCTGTTTCTTAAGATCCTGTTGATTTACTCCCTCCCTCCCACCCAATTATTTGGCGATTCTTTTCAAACAAATCCCAAACTAGTTGTCGTTCTAGGAATTTTCTGACATTTTACTATTCTCTCCAACGGAAAATCTTCTCTTTTCCTTAGGAGTGTATCATCTTAAATATAAATAAGTAAACTGTTCAGTAAGTGTTGTATAAGCTTCGTCTTTTGAGAAGTGTTTTGTGATTGAGTGAGGTTCCACTTTATTCTTGTGATTCTGGTATATGTAGATTAACTCTATTGTAGAGTTGCTTCGTGCAAAGTTGATATGAAATCTGGAACCAACTTTATCATTTAGTTCCATCTAAACGGTTTGTAGAGTAATTCTGTGGTGCAGTTACAACACAAGATGCAAACATGTAAGATTTCTTGATAAGAGTGCACTTTTTTCAAATAAAAGTCCATGAAGGATTTCTTTTTAAGGTAATAAATAAAACTTCTATATGTTAAAAGTAACGATAAAATTGAGAAAATATGGAAGTGCAAACTAATCATTACTATATGTTTTACTTAATTGGTTTGATTAGTCGAGACAATACGTCTTTAGATAAGATGATGGAGTGAGTAAGCAAACTTAGTAGTTAGTGAAGTCCATTGGTTTTGCAGATGGACTCTGGGCTGATTACAACGACGGAACTTGGCCCGCATGTTGTGAAGGTTCCCAATTCAATGAGAGTGAGGTGTGTGTGCCAATAAACTATGTTCATTGTTAAAATATTTTGCTAGCGGAATTAGCATTTGGTATCAGAATATCAGAACCAAATTAAACTCAGTGAATCTAAGTCTTAAATCAATACATCTTTGATTAGTACTCCGTATTTGCTATTTGTAGCCCCATGTTTTTCTCTATAGTGTGATCCATGTCTTTTACATGATATAGATCTCAACACTGCTGAGTGACTTGACAAAGTACTGGCCAACTTATCAGTGTGGTAGCTCATCAACTTGTCATCGTAGCAAAGGACCATTTTGGGCTCATGAGGTTTTCAAACTAAAATTAAATGTTTTTCTCATTGATGTTATACAATACACTACATGAAAGAATGAAACTAATTCTCTCTCATTCCTCTATGGTTGACCCCTTCGGCACTCACTCATTCACAGTGGGGTAATTATCTTATCCTCGTTCTTCCATTAATTTGATCAAGTACAGAAATTTCCTAAAGTATGAGTAATAATAATGTGAAAGTTCAAAGTATGGGTATTGCATTTCCTCTTAAAAGGGTTAAATTATTGTTATTGTGAAATCATTTTTGTGACATTTTGACATTACCAAACATTAATATGACAATATTAATCTTAAAACTTGCAGTGTTTTTCAAGAATGACAATAGTTACTCTTATTTAGGAGTAAAAACAATATGAAATTTCAAAATATGAGTACTATAGTTTTCCCTTACAAAGAGTAAATTATATCCTGAAATCATAGATATTTTGACATTTACCGGACATTAATAATTGGCAGTATATATAAGCGACAATACTTTCAAGCATGATAGTAATTACTCCTATTTAGGGAGGAATATAGTGCTCCTTTTTTGCAATATCAGTATTTTACATTATTTTTAATCCTATTTAGGGCAATTTGCAGTATAGAAAAGTTAAATTTTAGAAAGATAGTAATCCTAAATTGAGTATTATTATGATTTCCTATTCTCATCAGGTTGAAAGTTGAGTTTGTATTCCTATTCCCATTGTTTCTTTGTATGATAATTGCAAGAATCTCTATACAGTACCATTCCCTACCCTCACTTTTGCAGTGGTAGCAATTTGTGACAACATTCTTTTAGATAGAACTAATAAACTATAGAAGTATGAATGTGTCTTCCCCCACCCCCACCCCCACCCCCCAAATATAAATTATTTGCTAATTCCACTTCATTTTTATTCTTTTCCCAGAGAAACATGGAACATGTTCGTACCCAGTTGTCCGGAATGAATATGAATACTTTTTTACAACGCTGAATGTCTTCTTCAAATATAATGTTACGGTAATAATTGAGTTGTCATTTCAGTTCTGGTGCATGAATTTAAACATCTGTATCAAGTTTCCAATGAACTTAATCTCTTTATCCATGATGACTGTGGATTTAAGTGGTTGATGACCAACAATATCTTATTCAACACATAATACCAGGATGTATTGTACAAAGAAGGATATGTACCCTCAAATTCTGAGAAGTACCCATTAGGTGGCATCATTTCAGCCATTCAAAACGTGTTCCATGCAACCCCTGAATTGGCATGTTCTGGTGATGCTATTGAGGAACTTCGGATATGCTTCTTTAAGAATTTTGAGGTTGGTTTCTTTTATGTTTTTATTAAGAGTTTTGACTTCTTCCCGCAGCTCTCTTGGTAATCTAACTGCATCCATTAAATGTAAAGGAACTTGTTGATTAATTTGGTAAGAGCTGTTTGACTAAAATGAATGAATCGCTGAATTGGATATGAGCAAAAGTGTCGGGTGACATTCGTTTGAGCCAAATATGTAAACGGAGTCTAAGTATGTTTTTCTAGGCTTAATTATTCTGCAGTCTCTAAATATTTTGGTCTTTAGGACTGAAGGTCTAAAAGTTTGATAAGTTTTCTTAATGCAGCCACGTGATTGTGCAACGAAAAGTAAGCTCAAGAGTCTAAAAGATTCATCTTGCCCCAAGTACGTGAGCTTACCTGAACAGGCATCAGTGGCATCACAGTGTGAGCTTTCTGTTACCATCTAATGAGCACATGTTATTTAGATGATATTTCTCTTATGTATAAAAAGAGCTGGATGTAGGGGGAGACACACGGGCATGCACGGATGAGTATTTGGTCCAACGAAAATAGTAACATCCTACAAATATACTCTGTAATTAATATGGGATATTCCCTCTTTCTCTTGGGAACTTGCATAAATGAACGAACAAACTTAAGTATTCCTTTTTTAATACTCCATATTTAAATTTCATACTCGATACTCCATATTATATTTCATTCTGGTTTCTGTTTATTGTCAGTAATTCATCAAAGAGTTGAGACAAATGTTGAAAGTGCGAATGTAAATGTTGATATGACAATGTGGAACAAGATGAAAATAAGAATGTAAATGAGAATGACCTTGTTTGGGAATCGGTTGACGACAGCTGATTGACAATAGTTGGTTGTGTCAACTGTTTTAGTTGGTAGCTTGTTGTCAACAAATGTTTAGTAAATTAGTTGTTTAAGAATAGTTGTTTGAGTGTAACAAGACATTTAAGGACATTAGTATTTAATTTTTTAACTATTGCTTATAAAAATAATATTTTCTACATTTACTTACAAAGTATAAATCATTTATATTTTAGAAATTTTAGAAATTGATAAATAAAACTAGACGAAAAATAAAAAATAAATAAAAGAAACAATGTAATTTAATTTGCAATTGATTGCTTTCAATTGCAAATGTCCATAAAATTCCATTAATTCTTTTTTCATGGAATTAACGACACCTTCAATTAATTCCTCACTGATTTGAGTTGGTTTTCAAATTATCAGCAATGAATCAGAAAGTTGCTGAAATCCAACAACAAGAATTAAATCTTCATTACAGGGATAGTAAACTAGCAGAAAAAGAACTGGAGTATTTTAAGAGAGTAGTAGTTGCACTGCGAGAGGAAAACAACAAACTCTCCAAGCCTTCCGTTCCATTATCGAAGCTCCCTGTAGCTATACTTATACACACGAATTTCAACGCCAACATAGAAACAAATAGAGACAGAAAAGAAAGAATGAACCTCTTAGGTGCGTCCATTTGTACTTGCATGTTACTCATTTCGCCTCATGTTTGTGATTCTGAACGTCTTATCTTCCTTTGCTGGTGTTTACGTGAATCCCCCTTGACCCCCTACCATAGGTCGTTCTAATATCCCTCTGATTACTGGTTGTCAAGACAAAGAGAAGAAACTGCTAATTCCCAAGGAAGAGTGCCGTGTGACGCGGTTGCGAATCGGGGTTGGTTCGGAAGCCGACCATTTGTGTAAGAAGCCTCGTCAAGAGGGGGACGCCTCCCGGGCCATTGTGGGTGGTGGATGAGTCCGATGAGGAACCTGGTAGTCCTGTGAAACGGAAATCGACTTCTAAAACTAAGCCCCCCCATCTCCTCCAAGGACTTCAAACGTCCGTAAGCTTAGGGATGAAGACGTTCGTGACATTCACGCACCCACCTCATCTCGATCCTTGGCCTTCAAAGACAAGGACGTTCGTGGTGCCGGTTCTCGAGGTGTTCGCGCCTCCTCACCCCCAAGGATCAACGATCTCTCTTTAGGGCTTATCGAATTCTCTGGCGTAGGGGCCCGCAAGGAGTCTATGATGCACTTCGGCCATATAGCCTCTTCCATCTGGTGTGCCTGAACCTCAAGGTGCCCCAAGATTTCACTGCACAGGAGGTTCCTGAGGACCTGCTCGAGTGTGGCCTCAGCACCCTTGATAAGGCCGAAATTTATTTCCATAGGGCCCGGGCTGCCTTCGAAAGGCATGGGAGGGAGATGGCTCAACTGCGGGTTGAGTGTGATACTCTTATGAAGAACGCCAGGGGCAGGGTTGGCCAACTTCAGGAGAAGGCCAATACAGCTGACAAACTTGCCCAAGAGAATGCTTCGCAGAATCCCGAAAGGAAATGGGACTAAAACATTGTCAAAACTCCAAAATAGGAGTATATAAGTTTATTTATCCCTAAATAAGACTCCAGATTACAGCCTCAGACATATTAGAAATTAGTGATCTGCATCTTCCTCATCAGAACCTTAGCTCATGATCGACAAGTTCGTCTGCGATTTTCCAGTCTAGCATCGCCGCCGCCGCCGCTTGTCGGTACCATAGTCATATCCGCCACTCGTTGGTATCGCAGCCATAGCAACCGCCAGTCTTCTCCATCTCCGCCAACCTTCTGCAATTTTTCCAACGGAATCAAGTAATTTATCTTTCTCCTTCCCTCTTCTCTTCTCTTCTCTTCTCTTCTCTTCTCTTCTCTTCTCTTCTCTTCTCTTCTCTTCTCTTCTCTTCTCTTCCGTTTCCTTGTTGATCGTGCCCGTTTTTGTCTCTTGGGATTCAATTAGATCTGATAAATTGGATGGCAATTGAATAATTTGGAGGGGATGGGAATTGAACAAGTTTTGCACAATGAGTGTACAAACTTTTTTTATTGGATTTTTAATTTATTTTATTATTATTGAATTTGAAAATTTCATAACTATTTAAAACTGAATTGGGAAAATGTCACAAATATATTAAAATGACAAGGTCACCTTGAAATTAAAATATATGAAATGTCATGTTTTTTGCCCGTTTGACAAAATGGTGTCATTTTTATATTAGTCACTTTATAAAGATGTTATTTTTTTACTCAAATGAAGAGTTAGATTTCCACAAAGGACAAGTAATAGGATATGTCTCAACTTGAATTTCTTGTTATCACTTTTGATTAATTTGAATCTCAAAATGTCCTGACTAATTATTCTCAAGAGAATGTCACTTTTTGAAATTAGAAAATGTCATAATTATTGATTATTTGAAAAAATATCTCTTATATGTCATTACAGAATTTAAAATTGTCATATTGAGAATGTCATGTTTATATAAGAAATTGTCATTATTGTGTCATTATGCATACCAAGTGGCATCCTCGCATATCAAGTGGCATTCTCGATAGAGGTTACATGGACTTGCCGGAGAACGGAGGCTTCAACGAAGGATGGCGGCGGCAAACTCAACGGAGGCGGCGAACTTGCCGGAGGATACGGTTGCGACACTGGAGGATGGTTGCCGCTCATGTCTGAATGATGTATGCGGCACATGTCTGGAGCAGGATGGATGAGATGCACATAAGATGTTAGGCAGTTTCATTGTCCAAACACAAATACTTAGTCCTATTTAGATCATTTAAAACAATAGGTCTTATTTTTGCAATTGTCTCATGTTTTAGTCCTACTAGTATAGTACCCGTGCGATGCACGGGATATTGATTTTTCTCATTGTATCTATCTAGTTTTTAAAATGTGAAAAATAAATTCAACATAAAAATTAGAAAAATGATTGGAATTATTTAAGATTTTGAAATCAAGAAAAAATATTTCATTTATATATGTGTGAGTGAATTGTTAAACATTAAAATCTAATGGAGGAAGTCAATATAAGTTGTTGAACACAATTTATATTTTAAAAGAGAGGTACATTTTAAAAGGTATATTTCACAATTATCAAACCACGATTTTTTTTATTATTGAATCTTTAATTTTAAAACTGTTTCAACTTTCAAACTATCTAAAATATTTCAATAAATATTGTTGAAGTAAATCTTTCATTAAAAATCTCATCTGTTTCAATAAATATTGTTGAAGTAAATCTTTCATTAAAAATCTCATCAAAAATCTTTCATTGAAGTAAATATTTCAATAAATATTGTTGAAGTAAATCTTTGAGTCAATTCCCTAAATAGGACTAAAAAGTGGCAAAATTGCACAAATAGGATTACATTTTTTAAATTCCCTTAATATGACTATTTATGTGTGTTTGGAAAAATATACCCTTGTAACTTGTGAAATGTTTTAATTAATAATAAAATCATTAAAAAATTAATAAAAATCGAAAAAAATACTAAAAATCGTAAAAAAAAAACTAATAGAAAATTAGTAAAAATATTTTTTAAAAAAATTAAAAAAATATTTTTTTTAAAAAGAAAAAATAAAATAAAAAAAATCATAAAATTAAAAAAAAAACATTACAACCCCTGCCACCCCCAGCACCACCAGCTCCCATCACCGGAGAAAAATATGTCAACATTTTAAATAATGCCATAATGATGGCATATTCAATGAAAATGTTGGCATATTGAAGAGTAATTATGCCATCTTTTTGGCATTTTCAGAAAAATATGGCATTTTTTACCCAGCTCCCATCACCGGAGAAAAATATGTCAACATTTTAAATAATGCCATAATGATGGCATATTCAATGAAAATGTTGGCATATTGAAGAGTAATTATGCCATCTTTTTGGCATTTTCAGAAAAATATGGCATTTTTTTTACCAAAAGTGGAAGAAATTTCACCAATCGGAGGTGGGTGGTGCTGAGGAGACGGTGGGAAAGGTATCCATAATTTTTTTCATTTTTTATGGGTTTTTACTATTTTTATAATGTTTTTAAAAAAATAAAAAATAAAAAATAAATTTTTTATGTTTATAAATGTTTTATAAATTTTTTATAATTTTTTTACGTTTTTTAAAATATTTTTTACGCTTTTTATGATTTTATTATGAATTAAGCATTTCATTATGAATTAATACTCTTAGGGTTATTTAGGGGTAGAAAATTAATGTTTATTCCTATTTAGGGAATTTTAAAAGTACTAGTCCTATTTGTACTTTTTAGGAACTCATTAGTCCTATTTAGGACAATTTCCGTAAATCTTTCATTAAAAATCTCAGCGAGTGGCGGGTAGTTCAGTCAAGCACTTGCAAGTCACAATTACGATATTAATTTTAAAATGAAAAAACATACATTCTACGGTTCTACCGTCATTTAAATAATTCACGAGTTTTTTCTCAAATAGGGGGTAGTTTGAATTCTTTTTTTAGAAAGGAAGAATTAAACTTCATTAATGGCATCATTGTTCAGTACATGAGACAAAAACATAGGAGGAAAATCAATCCAATAACTGCTATCAGACATAGAACACCGCTGCTTGTGCTAGTGCATGAGCCGCCTTGTTCGTTGATCGCCTAACGTGAGAGAAAGAAATCTCAGAAAAAGAAGACCGAAATTCTCGAACATCCCCAGCCACCATCCCACCAAAAGAAACGCTTGAGCCATCCAAAATTTCCGAAATAGCTTTAGAAGCATCAGATTCAACTTCAACAAAATCCCACCCATTTTCTTTCACCCAACTGAGCGCTTCCCGAACTCCAATTAATTCTGCTTCCCAAGGAGACAGACACCCTTGTCAAGGTTTAGAAACGCCTGTCAAAAAAACTCCATCCTCATTCCGAAGAAGCCATCCCAAACCGATGCCACCCTCACGGACAGAAGCATCTACATTTAGCTTTACCCAACCTGGCCGAGGTCGTTTCCAACACATCACCTCCTTCGACCTTTGTATTGCCGGCTTTCTCCATTGTTGCTGCGCCAAAATCCAGCCCTCAACAAAGATTTGTGTCTTCAACAACAAATGTTTTGCATCAGCCGAAACCCCATTCCAAACCCGATTGTTCCTTTCACACTACAAGCCCCAACAACCCCAAATCAGTGTACACAAATCCTTCTCCTTCTTTGCCTGAAATTCGATCTTTAGTCATCAACCACTATGCTACATTATTCTCTTAAAAAAAGACAAAAATCAGGGGTAGTTTGAATTCTTATTTCCCAAATAAGGGTACTTTTAAACTTATTTATCAAATGATGGTAATTTTTGTCATGTCATCTGATTTTGCCACGTCACTATTCTAGGTCATCCACCAGCCACTCCACCAGGCACACACACACACACGGTTTTGCCACGTCACAATTTTGCCACGTCACGCGCCCGCACACGCGCCCACACACACACACACACACACACACACACACACACACACACACACACACACACACACACACACACACACACACACACACACACACACACACACACACACACACACACACACACACACACACACACACACACACACACACACACACACACACACACACACACACACACACACACACACACACACACACACACACACACACACACACACACACACACACACACACACACACACACACACACACACACACACACACACACACACACACACACACACACACACACACACACACACACACACACACACACACACACACACACACACACACACACACACACACACACACACACACACACACACACACACACACACACACACACACACACACACACACACACACACACACACACACACACACACACACACACACACACACACACACACACACACACACACACACACACACACACACACACACACACACACACACACACACACACACACACACACACACACACACACACACACACACACACACACACACACACACACACACACACACACACACACACACACACACACACACACACACACACACACACACACACACACACACACACACACACACACACACACACACACACACACACACACACACACACACACACACACACACACACACACACACACACACACACACACACACACACACACACACACACACACACACACACACACACACACACACACACACACACACACACACACACACACACACACACACACACACACACACACACACACACTATTGATGGGGGTTTATTAGCACACTAGAGTGTGCTAATAAATTATTAAAAAATTGGAGCAGCAATGGATAGATCCCCCGACCTGCTTAAAACTAAGTGCACAGGCAAACCATTAGGCTATAATCAACCGTTGGTACAATTCCATCCAGTGGTGGAATCGGACTATTTTTTAAGGGGGACGATAAAATATGTTAAGACCGTGAGTCGAAACTCGAGAGGGTAGGTTAAGTCGGGTCAAAGTTATTGATAATTTACATACACACTTTTTAGAAACATAACCAAAATATAAGGAAAATTATCTAAATAAAAGTATTTAAAATTTTAAAATAGGATTGACATGTTTTTATTACCTAAAAATGAGTAATTTTTGCCAAATTTGACATAACCACGCTTTAAACATGACAATTTTGTTTTCGAACTTGTTAGAAATTACTCCTATTTAAGGAATAAAAACATGAGAGACATACTTTGCAATTTCAACACGCTTTTTCAAACTAGTATAGATTTAAGGAATAAAAACATGAGAGACATACTTTGCAATTTCAACACGCTTTTTCAAACTAGTATAGATTATGCACAAATTATATATGTATTAGTAATGTATTGCATTTAGAACATATTAACAAATTTGTGTTATCTATTCTAATATAAAAGCAAAGTTTTTTTGTGAATAGTATTCCCGCTGAAAACTGTCAACATCAATGGTTCATTTGGTTATTTTAGAAAATAAATGAAAATTAAATATTTGCAAAAACTATTGGAGGTCACGTTTTTAGACAATTTTGGTATTCGTCTGTTCCTATTGGTTGATGTGGGAGGTGAGCACTATTGATACTATTTATTTTTTGTTAAGATAAATAAAAACTAAATAATGTGAAATAATTGAGTTGCAAACCATTACTCTTTTTGTTCTAAAAAAATTCCTATTGGTTGATATGGGAGGTGAGGACTATTGACACTATTTGGGCGACTCAGCAACTTTTGGATTGAAAAATTTCTATTGGTCAATAGTGGAGGTGGGCATAGTGATTCCGATTTAATGTATCTCATTCGAAGATACGTAGTATATCTTCAATATCTTCAATATCAAAACAAATATTTTTCCCTGACAATCTACTGTGCAGTATGGAAACCAACTGGCTCGCATTTTCCCTGCATTACTCCTTCACAACACCAATATAAATAACTCCTCCTATTTGTGGCAAATTGTTCCTCACAAATCATCTGCAGCAGGAGAGTAAGTGTAAATTCTTTAGTTTCTCAACAGGTCAAAAGTGCGTATTTATGCAAAGAACTATAGTTCCTCAATATGTTTGGTATCTATTACGTTTAGTTTCACCTATTTGTATAATATTTCATATGATCTTTTCAGGTAAGAACAATACAAGCAGTCAAGCACAATAAGGTACAAGAAATTTGTTGAAGATGGGTCATTTGTACAGAATTATAAATAGATGAAACAGTTCAAAAAAATCAAGTTTGGAGTTTTTGGATAAAAAACAAATGAAGTTTAAAAATCATATATTAAAGAAACTTCAGTTCTGCATCTAAATTGACATTCGATGAAGGACAATATTTACTTTTGAATGTGCTAAATCAATTATTTACGATAGATTTATGAACTTATGAAAGACACTATTGTAGTGATTTGTCAAGTAATCTATTTCAAAATTTATATGGAAGATTAAAAAAAAATATAAAAATGTATTACAAACAAATCTACAGAATGACAACAGTACACAAGTCCATAAATTATTAAGTACTATCTTCCGTCTCTTTTTAATCGTAACATGTTAAATTTTACACTATTCACATGTTCTACTTTGACTACATTTTATATTATTATTTTATGAAAATTATTTTTAAAAAAAATATTGTTTAATTCATCTCATTACAAATTTTCAAAATATAATTTTTAAATATTTTTTGCTTATAGAGATTAAGATATAATCACGGTCAAAGACGTGGCAAGTGTGAAATGTTGACCGTTGCAACTAAAAAGGAACGGAGAAAGTATATTAGAGCAAGAATAAAGTAAACCATACAAATTTTACTTTCTACAAATGATAAAGCTCACCGGAAACTTAAAGTTTACTACACAAGTAATTATTTAAAATTTTTTGAGTTCACAAACAGATACACACATCTTCAGCTACAGTCATTTCATTACGTTTAAAAAATATAACTCTCGAAATTATATTTTTGTAAGGTTCATTGAGAATTTGAGATTGATAGTTTTTAGAATTATTGATACTACTCCGTATATCCGGAAGGTCAAATTTTTGAAAGCCCTAAAATTATTAAGTGAAATTTCAGTGAACCTAAATAGAGTGAAATATGAAAGAATTTCATATTCGTTAGGAATGAAATAGAGTGAAATTGTTTATAAAAGAAGTTGCAATTAAAAATAGACAAAATAATTAAATTAAAATACAGATCTGTTAGATCAACTTCGGTACCTGATTGTGAGGAGGGGAGGGATCATATTCTCTAAATTGACTACAATCTAGCTACTTTACCCTAGACATGCATCTGTGTGGATGATGTCTTTCTTACCTCTGCTCTATAAATGAATAAAATGCTCATGTAGTCAAGTTTATCATCTGGACAGGACACTTCGACAGAAACCGATGCCCTACTTGAAGCGCCGAGGATAGATGAAACCGGCAGGCGATGCAAGAACACCAAATTCTTACCATGAATGGTTTGGGTGGAATGGGTGAAGCTCATATGTCCGCGACTTTGTGGGGTGGTTAGATTGCTTGAGAATTGGTGAGGAAATGTGGATCTGATTTTTTGTAGTTGGTTGGAGAGAATTAAAACGTACTAAAAGTTGCCGAAAAGAGGAAGGGATAATGTGAGATGTTTTGAAGGCACTTCATTCGAGTAGAAGACCCATATGGAATAAGATTGGTTGGTAGGGGGTTAGGATTAGGATTTGTTTTTAATTGGACGGGTTTCAATTAAACTAAGATTGTGTGATGATGTTTTTAGATTTATTTATCGGGTTAGCCCCAACTTTTTCATACTCCCTAACTTTTAATTTTGCATACTAAATTGTTTAATACGGAATAAGAAGAAAAAATAAGATTGACGTAATTTTTTCGGGTGCTCAACCTCCCTCCCCCAGACATCCTTGAGTACATAAAAAAGAGATGTATTATGGCTGCAAAAAGGCATCATATGAAGTGGCCCAGTTCAATACACAGGCTCATCGGCACATTTTTTGGCCTGGAATCTGGATTCATCACAAGATTAAGAGAGGAAAGTTCATGTCAGGCCGGCCTGACGGACTGCTCCGTCCGGTCGAGCCCGTTTGAGCACCTTCCCAGTATAATTTTTTAATGAAAATTTTTGAGCATGTTCCTCATTACGTCTAGTTTGTCCATACCAAATTTCAGCTCAAAATTCGATCGGGAAGACATTCAAATTATTTTTTGAAGTTGACTGCAGTTTTATATGTATATTTTGACGCAATCAACTTCAAAAAATGATTTGAATGCCTTCCCGATCGCATGTTAAGCTGAAATTTGGTATGGACAAACTAGACTTGATGAGGAACATGCTCAAAAAAATTCATCAAAAAATTCCACCGGGAAGGTGCCCAAACGGGCTCGGCCGGACGGAGGTTCCCGTCAGGCCGGCCTGACGAGAGGAGTACTCAGATTAAGATACCCGAATATGTCAAAAAAATATTAAAATCTCAAGAGTAATTATTATTTAATTTGGAATATTATTTGTAATTATATAATACCCCCAGGTTACACGTAGCCAGTGGGACTTGGGAGTATTATGTTCGGATCTGCTAACGGTGCCCTGATATTGGGCTTCTTCATTTGAGCCTAGGATCTTTTTGGGCAGCCCAATTACTTCATTTTAGTGCCTTTATTGTTTTTTTTTTTTTTGAGTTTTATATTAGGCCAGTGATCTGTAACCTTTTAGTAATCTTTGGGTCCGTTTTAATAAAAGTGCCCTTCTTTAATATAAAAAAAAGTGCATGTATACCTTGGTTCAGTTTTTGGATCTACTCAAAATACTCAACGATTTAGCTCTTGAAAAATAAAAGAAAGATTTTCTGAGGAACAGTGTTCGCGCCAAAAAACGTCAACTGCAATCCCTCATTTATTTATTAGTCAAAAAAACAAAAACAAAAATATAGTCTACAGATATTAGGTCGGTCAAGTCAGCGAATTTTGTGATTAATCAATTCTTATTGATCCAAGAAGAAGGTGAGCGCAATGATATAGGCGTGAATGGAGGAAGATCATTTCTTAACACCTTCAAATGTTAGTCATGACTTATTGTGTCATAACTGTAAATAAAATAAAAAAATAGTTGGTGTCATGTGTTGCATGGTTTGTTGTTGAAAACACCTATTTGTAGTTATTGTCAATTTTACGTGGTTGTGTCAGGAGTAACCAATCTGTCGAGCGTTAAACAATCACATTACAAACAATGACAGTGGAGGCCTTTAGTTTCAAGAATTTTCTATATAATTAAATAAGTATTTCATAAAGTCAAGCATAGAATGTAATTTGTTTTAAAATTATATTTGTATTGAGTGTTACTATTTTGTTAGACTATACACATTTGTGTGCTACACCACAATCATTGATACTTCGTAAATCGTATTGAATACATTTCATTTTACATCAAACTTCATTATTGTGTATGTTTTTTTTTCTAATTTGAGTAAAACTTCGCCCTATAAATTTCACTATGGTTGTACATATTTTTGAATTAACAACTACAATATATTCTACCTATTGAATGTGTTTCAAAAATTATTGTGCTTAAATGATAGCATTATTTTTCATATGCTGACTCAACTAACATTTTCTCCCAAATTCATATTTGAGCATTGTTTAATAATGCCATAACACACTTTCACACATTTGCACACCCCCTGATTTGCCAATTTACCCGGGCAATTCGTGTAAAAAATGCAATTCGTATAAGATCATAGTCACCATATTACTTAAGATGATTATACTTAAACTTATTTCAGTCTCAGACCAAACCAAACTTAAATAAATCAGACCATACTTGGATACTAAAAAAGTAGAGGCACCTATTTGAACATTTTCCCACAAATTTAGATTCAAGTATAATTCAAGAATGACATAACACACTTTCACACATTTGCACACCCCCTGATTTGCCAATTTACCCGGGCAATTCGTGTAAAAAATGCAATTCGTATAAGTGCATAGTCACTATATTACTTAATATGTTTGTACTTAGACTTATTTTAGTTCAGACCAAACCAAACTTAAACAAATCATATCATACTTGGATACTAGAAATAGTAGAGGCACCTATTTGAACATTTTGTTATGGTTTCAACGTATTTGTTGGATGTTTTTGATCTTTTAAGTAATGCTTAGTAATCTCATTGTGACCATAATATTATAAGTGTGTTTCGTTTGATGCTTTAATGTATAGTCGTATTACATGAAGATAGATGTTGTCATCAATTGATAGTATGATTTGAATTACTAAGCACACATAAATTTGAAAGAAAAATTTTCAAACCGT